ATGGTGTTGGAACACATTTCACATCCATAGACAAAATAGATATCCATAGACAAAAACAAAACAAACAAGCAAAATCAAAGGGAAAAGAAAAAAAAAGGAAAAAATTATCATTATTATTATTTTTTTAAAGATTTTATTTAATTTATTTATTCATGAGAGACACAGAGAGGGAGAGAGAGAGAGGCAGAGACACAGGCAGAGGGAGAAGCAGGCTCCATGCAAGGAGCCTGACATGGGAGTGTAAAATTTTCAGAAGAAAACAGCAGGAAATTTTTGGGCTGGTGAAGACTACTTAGACATAACATCAAAGGCATGATCCATAAAGAAGAAACATCAATGAATTGGGCCTTGTAAAAATTAAATACTTTTATTCTGAAAAATATCCTATTGGGGCACTTGGGTGGCTCAGTTGGTTAAGTCTACCTTTAGCTCAAATTGTGATCCTGGAGTCCAGGGATCAAGCCCTACATTAGGCTCCCTGCTGAGCAGGAAACCTGCTTCTCCCTATGCTTCTGCTTCTCCCTCTGCCTCTCTTCCACCTAATGTTCTCTCTCTCACTCACTCACTCACTCGCTCTCCCTCTCTCTCAAATAAATAAAATCATTAAAAAATATATCCTTTTGAGAGACTGAAAAGGTTAGATATAGACAAAGACAAAATATCTAAACATCCAAAATATAACAAAGAGCAAATATTAACAAACATAACAAATATGTCTAGAATCAATAAAGAACTCCCAAGTCTCCACAGTAAAGATACACACACACACACACACACACACCCCTACTCTAATTACAAAATGGGAGAAAGACACAAAGAGACATTTATCAGAGAGAATATTCATATGGAAAATAAGCTCATTGAATGATGTTCAACATCACTAGCTATTAGGAAAATGCAAATTAAGACCATGCTGATACATCGCTATACACCTACTGAAGCACTTAAAATATGAAATAATGACAAGGTCAAATGATGATGAGAATGCAGAGAAGCTGGATGTCTCCTGCACTGATGGGGATGTGAAATGAAAGATAGTTTGGGGCAGTCTCTTAAAAACTAAACATACACTTACCTCCTGTCCCAGGAGTCACATTTCATGGCCTTTATGTCAGAAAAATGAAAACTCATGTTCACACAAAACTGTACACAAATTTGCATAGCAGCTTTATATGTCATTGCCCTAAACTAGGAACAACCAAAAGGCCCTGCAACAAGTGTGTCCATATCATGGAAGACTCTCAGCAATAAAAAGGAAAAATTGTGGGTACATTCAACAACTTAGATAGATCTAAAGGGCATTATGCTAATTGAAAGAGGCCAAGCTCAGAAAGCCACATACTGAATGATTCCATCTATTTGACATTCTCAAAATAACAAATTATAGAGATGGAGGGCAAATTAGCAGTTGTTAGGTGATGGGGTCTGAAGAGAAGTGATTGTGAATACAAAGGGCAGCATGAGGGAGAACTCTCTGGTAATGGAATAGTTCTGTGCCTGACTATGGTGGTGGTCACACAGATGTACTCATGGGAGGAAACAGGCACATTTACCAATATGTTTCCTGGTTTTGATATGGTATTATAATTTTTAATATATAATCATTTGGAGAAACTAGATAAGACGTACATAGGGTCTATCTATACTGTCTTTGCAAGTTCTGGTGAATCTATAATTATTTCAAATTAAAAAAATTTTTAAGGTGGACTTCTGGGTAAAATCAAGAACCCTCACAACACCAAATGCTAGCAAGCCAGAATGCAGTACAATAGGGGATCTCATTCCTTGCTGATGGTAATGCAAAATGTTATAATTATTTTGGAAGACACACTGTGGTGATTTCTTACAAAGCTAAACATGCTCCTATATTACAGTCCAGCAATGTTCTCCTTGGTATTTACTCAATGAGTTGAAAACATATGTCCCCACAAAAACTGGCACAGGAATGTTTATAGCAGCTTTGTGAAACTTGGAAACAACCAAGATGTCCTTTGACAGGTGGATTGATAAACTGTGGAACGTCCATACAATGAAGTATTATTCAGCAATTTGAAAAAAGCTATTAAGCTTTGAAAAGACGTGGTGACCTTAAATGCATATTGCTACATGAAAGAATCATGTTAGACTAAAAAGCTCTCACTGTATGATTTCAACTATATGACATTCTGGAAAAGGCAAACTATAGAGATTTATATCATACAAAGAATGAACCCTATTCTAAACTATTGACATCTGTAAATAATAATGTATCACTATTGATTCATCAATGTGGTAAGATCAAATGTACCACCCTGCTGACAAGTGTCAATAATAGGAGAAACTGTATGGAGCAGGGAGGGGGAAAGATGGGGAAATTCAGGAACTCTTGTATTTTGTGCCCAATTTTTCTGTGAACCTAAAACTGCTCATTAAAGGTAAAGTATTCAAAAAATGTCTTTTTATATGGGAGGTTGTAGATGTTTTCTTTTTTATGCCACATATGTCTGAGTTTTAGTGTATTCTCTATTGCCACCTATTTATGGTAAAAAATGGGAGTTGCATAAAAGAAACACCTGTGACTATTTTCAAATTTCTAAAGATGTGCCTTTGATTCTTTAAGCCACAGAGTACAGAAACTTGCTAGTTTTTAGTAAGTCCTTTAAGGTGTTAGATAAACTAAGGCATAAGACAATTTCTAAGTGTTTACTTGAGAACATGATTCAAGTCTGGCTGTGCCAACCTGAAAATGGTGAAGAGTTCTGTGACAAGAGCTGGAGGAATAGGCTTTGGTAGAACAGGTGCAGAGGCAAAACACAGAAATTGCTTTACCAATTCCCTGATTGGCTATATTCTCTTCAGTTGCCTTACCTGGAAAAGCCCATTTGGCTATTGGTGAATTTGCTGGGATACGAGTGCTTACAGGGATTGACTCTAGTTTAGGTTTCAGTTTGCTTATGTAAGTTACCAAGCTGTTAGAGCCATCTCAGTTTAATGGCCTCCTAGTAAAATTACTCCAAAAATTATCCCCTTTTGGTTATCCTTGTACACATAAGAGGTGGACCAAAAATTTGATATTAGTACCACTCAGGGCACTATCAGGGTTAAGTGGTTCTTGTTTCCCTGTGAAACTCATAGGTTATAAAGTAAGGTTTGTGAAAGGTGTTTGCACCTCACTGTTCATGTCATTTCTGTTTCTCCAAATGCAGTGAGACCACCTGATATACTGCTGATGGCTCTGAGCATGTGTTTGAGACCCTTGAGGGAACACAGCTTCATGATGACTATCAGGACGAGAATACCAAGGGAGGGAAGTATGCTTTTTGTCAGGACCTCCATGAACCAGACCAGTTGGTATCAATGTGTTTTAGCCAAAAGGCTTGTTAATTTCTTGTACTGACTTTCTAGAATATCAGAGGTATTGATCCAGGAGCAGCAGGAAGTATTTGCTATGGCATTGACTCCTTCTTCAGCTCACAAGCAATCTACAGCAATTTTATTACCTCAAACGCCTTATCACCTCAAAATAAGCCTTATGCCAGAGTGGCATATTGTGAGATGAGTTATTCTGCTACCCTTGAAAGTGATCTTGCTTTGATTTGTGCATTTCTGGGATTTTTATCATCAGGTTATAAACATTTTGAGAAAAAAAATGCAATTTATAATTTTTTGCAATCACTAAGCACGAGACATAATTACTTTTCTTGCATTTATCCTTTAATTCCTTTTTTAAAAAATTATTTTATTTATCTCTGACTGCTAGAGAGAGAGGCAGAGAGAGGCAGAGGGAGAAGCAGCCTCCCTGCAGGGAGCCTGATGTGGAACTCTATTCCAAGACCCCAGGATTATGCCCCCAGCCAAAGGCAGATGTTCAACCACGGAGCCACCCAGGTGTTCTGCATTTTGTCCTTTAATCTTATTATAACTCAGTGTGTAAAAATTGCCATCAGTATTTTCATGAAACAATCAAGTAAGTAGAGTTAAGCAAGGTATCAGTGAATACACAGCTAGTAAATGTAGAGTAAGATGAAGCCCAAGTTGACGTCAATTCAACATCTGGTATTTGCTACTCTATCAAACTGTCAGGATAATTGATCTTTATGGTTTGGGGTAGGCTCTGGTAACTAGTTAGAAATAAATTTCAAGTAATAGTTTCACAGATACAGAGCAAGAGCTCACTGTATCTCAAACATTTTTTCACTCTATTTTAATGTCATGTTTTCCCGAACTTTCCACTTTTTACTTGATTTTTCTGCACGGGGATACATATCCAATACAAGATTGTTTCAGGAATAAGTCAGACCATTTATCTAGTAATGACACAGGCATCAAAGACCATGTTAATAAAATGGGTAATGCTGATCCACAGTGTCCTATCCTATTTTCCGTTAAATCTGGAGTGTCATTGATATGTAAATCCTGTAACATGTAAATCCTCCTCTGTTCTCCACTCCACTCTCATCTGCTCCCTATCATCAGTCTTGCCTATTAGCTGCGGCTAAACCCTATGCTTTAACATTCATTCTACTAAAGATCCACATGTATCACTGACTTGGAAATCAGGAACCAAAACTAGATTCTGAAATCATTCCTAAGCAGAGATCTCTCAACAAACAAACTTTACTCTAGAGTTTTCCATTGAGGGACTGGACCATAGCAACTGGATTACTTGCAGATGCTGTGAATGAGACATGGTCATAATGAACCTAGATATTCCTTTTTATTTTAAGATTATTTATTTATTTACTTATTGTTTAGAAAGCATGAGCAGGGGGAGGGGCAGAGGGAGTAAGAGAATCTCAAACAGACACTGCCCTGAATGCGGAGCCCAGGATGCTGAGATCATGACTTGAGTCAAAATCAAGAGTCAAACACTTAAATGACTGAGCCACCCATGCCCCAAACCTAGATATTTCTGACTGCTTATAGAACTTATCACATACATTCAACATTCACACATTTCAGGATGAAAGGATCACATATATTCCCTTGTCCCTGTGAAGAACTGGCTTAGACATAAAAACTTCATCTCAGATCCATCAAATAGTTTATTGTGTTAAAAAAAATCACAATCACAATTTGAAGAAACCAAAGCACTAAGTGTAGAAGAGATATCTGTTTTGAACATTCACAGGGTTCCATAGTAGAGAAAAGATCCTATGGGGTCTATTCCAGAGGCATTGCATGGTAATATTAAAATGATGGTAGAAAATGGAGGAAAATGGATCCAAGAAGGGTCAGCAAAGAGAGAATAACTAGATATCAGATCAGGAAGACGTCATTTTTCTTAGAATATCTAAAAGTCTGGAAAATGCAAAAAAATGGTTGTCCTCAGTGAGGTGAACAGTTGGAATATTTCCAGGTTTATAAAGCTATTGAAGCATAAATTTCTTCACTGGTCTTCTCTCTAGGAAACTCCATTGCCTGTAGCAGGACATGCATAGTTACTAAAGAGTTAAGATTATTGTTTTAAGCTCTTTTTTCAGATTCATTCCTCTTCTCCCTTAAACCTTTGACTTTGGAACCCCTTTAGAAAAAAAAAAAAGAAAAATCCTTTGACTTTGGAAGTGTCTCTAAATATTCACTTGACCTCTATCTAGTAAATAGAAACTTTCTAGCATGAATTGCATCTCCCACTCTCCAAGTGAACATAAATGAGCAGACCAGAGCTTCCAGAGCTTACCCTTTCTTAGAAGTTTCAACACCACTTTTCAGATTGGAGAAGAAAAAACAGACATTGGCCTTCAGGAGATTTTTATTTATGCAGTGAATTTATCCTAACCCCCAAAGAGCCAAGCTCTGGAAATATTTCTGAGCTGAGGTACTGTTTCAGAAAATATATACCAGAAAGTACTCAAATCTTTCCTAGATCATTGATTCATTAATATTATGTGAAACAATAGTATTGGGTAGTGGAGATAATTTCTAAGACTGAGGTTGTGGTATAGGTGCACATGTATCGGAGAGAATATGGGATCTTAAAGTTTTGGGATACCAGATGGTGTCAATGTCTGATTCTGTTCTCGCAAAGATAAATTAAGAGTCATGACTTTCCTATCATTTTCCTTTAAAGATATCACATATCCTTCTCCCCACTCTGTTTCCTTCTTTTGGATAATTCTTTCTATATATATGCCTTCCTCTAACTACATCAAACCCACCTGAAAGTGCCTCAAAGAGGCCCTCGGCGTTCACCAGCATTGACCTTGCGCATGCCCTTGATGATGAAGATGGTCCCAGTAATGATGCCCACCAGACCCACAATCAGGCCCAGGGCACACACCACATTCTCTGTTGTCTCTGGGAGGGGGGTTGGTGCTTCAAACTCTGGGGAAAATAAAACAGAGTACAGTACAGAAGTAATGACTGTGTATGGCGTAGCAATTAGAATCAAAGGTAGGGTATTCAGTCAAAAAAATAATTATCAATCAATTAAATAAGAGGAAGACAGAATGATGTATGAAGGAAATGCATATTAAAAGGTGGGTGAAACTGAATAATGGGAGAAGACAAGGAATAGGAGTCATAGCAATTGTTATGGATGAGTTAGGGAAAATCCCAAAGCACCAGACACATGCATCACCGGGGAAAATCATAAAAGAAAGGAGATGGAAGGATGGTCCATACCCCAGTGCTTGAGAAGAGGTTCATCCAAACCCCAGTGCTCCACCTTGCAGTCATAAACGTCCTCGGCTGAGGGCAGGAAGGGGAGATAGTGGAATTTGCGGAAAAGGTGGTCTTCCCTGGGCAAAAAGATTGTCTCTGACACTCCTGTGGTGACAGGGTTTCCATTTCGAAGCCACGTGACATTGATCACTGGTGGGGAGAACTTGTCGATGAAACAGATGAGGATGTTGGGCTCTCCCAGTTCCACAGGGGTGTTTGAGAGCACAGTCACCTCTGGAGGTACTGGGGACATAGGACAGAAATTAGCCTTCCCTGCTTGGGCTAGTCCCTCTCCCTCCCACTGAAACAGAATAAGCAGTTGAAACTCTGCCCTGAGGATCTGTACTACAGTCTCAGATACCTATCTCTGATACTCTCCTCCATGAACTGGAACCAGTGCTGTGGTGTAAGATATACAAGATATTTTAGGCACTGGAGATAATTTCATTCCTGCCCCCCCCCCTCCCCAGCATAGATTTGGGGCAATGGCTCTATAAGTGACTGTGGATGGTAAGGATGAGATATGAGCACATCAGGAAAGGAACAAACTCATATGAAATTCTTGGGCCTGTGGCATGAGAAGTAGGGACTTGTTTATGGCCACACTAGGCCCCTGGGAGAGAAAGTCAGTCACAATAATGTAACACATAAGCTGAAGCATCTATTTCAAAGTTATGATTCCCATGTCTAAGAGTGCAGCAGGTACCATTGGTGTTCGGGGTGTGGTTGGAGCGCTTTATCATTGTGTCAAGGTTAGCTTTGTCCACAGCTATGTTGGCCAAGGCACCCTGGGCCTCAAAGCTGGCAAAACGTCCAAATTCTTCAAGGCGCCACACCGTCTCCTTCTTTTCCATATCCACGTGGAAAATCTCATCACCATCGAAGTCAAACATGTACTCGCCTGATGGGTCAGGGGTCAGATAGAACTCAGCCTGGATGATTACGTGCTCCTCTGAAAAGGCAGGGAAGAGAGTTAGGGTGGAAACCAGGAGCAGGAGAGGAAGTAGAATCCAGGATGTGAGACAAACATGTGGGTGTGGGCAGTGGAAGGGATTGGCCATGTGGAATGGAGGAATGACGGAGACCAGAAATGAGCTGGAAGATGAGGCTCAGGTGCAGGACATCCATGTTGAACAGAGCTAGGAGGGGAGAAATGAAGGGCAGAGGTAGGGTGCATTGAAGGAAATGAAGGCTGAAAATCCTAGATTCTTGTGAAGCTGCTGTTTGGTTCCATGCTCATAGCTGAGAAATGATTCCCTTTTTGGAAATCTAGCAGCAATTCCTAAAAGAGAATCACTCACTGTATTTTCCCAGGCATTAAATACAATTAAACAAGAGTTCTAGGTCCTCTCTCAGAGCACTGGATTATTAAGAAGAGGGAAACACTGTTTAAAAGGACACCTGGGTGGCTCAGTGACTGAGTGCCTTCAGCTCAGGTCATGATCCTGGAGTGTTGGGATTCTCCACCTACCTATATCTCTGTTCTCTCTCCCTGTCTCTCATGAATAAATAAATAAAATCTTTAAAAATAAATAAATAAGAGTCTAGGTTCTGAACTCTGGATCAAATTAAATCTTTAATTCTTATTCAGGTATTTACTTATCTAGTGATTTAAATGGATTATTTTATCTACTTCTTTGAGGTTTTCCTATTATATTCTCTTATGGTTTTGCTTCTAACTTGAATTTGTCTTTAGAATTAAATGAGAGGCACCTGTGTGGCTTAGTCAGTTAAGTATCTGACTGTTGGTTTCGGCTCAGGTCATAATCTCAGGGTACTGAGATCGAGCCCCAAACTGGGCTCTGCGCTGAGTATGGAGACTGCCTAAGATTCTCTCCCTCTTTCTCTCTTTGTCTCTCCCCACCCTGCTTGTGCAATCACATACTCTCTCTCTCAAAAAAACATAATAATAATAAAAAGAATTAGATGAGGTAAGTAATTTCTTAGTACATCAACAGACTTATAACAAGCATTTTAGGTTCAAAACTGCTTTATACTTAAGGAACAGAGACACCTCTAGCTTCCTCTTCCATCCCAAGGGAAGAGCCTCTATTTTATCACATATGCATCTCCATTTGTGGCCCTTTCAAGGCAACAGAAACATACAGTTTCTATCATGGGTCTTAGAACTGGATGATTATATTACTTATTTCCAGCGTACTGCCATCCTTTCTGGGGTTTAGTCTGGGTAAAGGTTACTTTTTCACAATACATCTTCATAGCAGTAAACGTTTGTTTTGCAGATGGCAGAGAATAATAAAAGAATTTCCATATCCTTATTCATTGTTCTACTCTTTTGAGAAAATCACTAAGTAGCTGTGACCATAGATCATAGATCCACTGAAGTGGTGAAGGCGCCATCCTTCTCCTAAGAGGAAGTAAATTAAGAGCAATTGGTATAAGCATACCTGCCCTTGCTCTTCCTTGGGTAGATTGTTGCTTTTGGTAACTTCCTTTTCTGGTGATCTTCAATGCAATATCTGTGCTTAAAATATTCTGACAGGATTCACTTGCCAAAAAAAATATCATATATTTGTCTAAGAAACAGTTGCAAGAACTTCTCATATTTTTTCTCATTTAATCCCCACAAAATGATGTGAGATTTCAAAATCTACTAATTTTCCAGAAAAAGAAATTAAAGCCCAGAGGGTAGCTTGTTAATGCCTCTCAGAAAAGATTTTCACTTCAAGTCAGCCTTATCTCAAAGTCAATGGTATTAATCCATACCATTTTTTGTTCCTCTCAACTAAATGTGACTGACTTCAATTTATAAGATCAGAACTCCTCCAAACTACAATTTTTTAATACTTTCAGATTTAGACCACGTGATGCCTGCCACACTTTTCCTTCACTTCAAAGACAGTCTTGCAAATATTTACAATTTATCTCTCCAATGCTCTCAGAATTTCTATCCCAAGTTTTGTTTCTCTCAGCACTTACCTTTGACAGCCCATGATTCCTGAGGACCCAACAGGAAAGCCATGATGAAAAATCTTAGCACTGGGACTCCACTTATGGTCATTTTCTTCTGTGATTTGTTGGGAGGTCAGTAGAGCTAAAGATTAGGGTAGAACTGACACGGATTAAAAAAAAAAGAGAGAGAATGTATGATATGATAGAGTTTGACTGATTGAAATTTAAATAAGTTGAGCTGAAGCCAATCAGAAAAACTTTTGAGATGACACATCTGTTGCTAAGGGAAGAGCTCTTGTCAAAGGGTCAGGTAAACAAGTAAAGCTCTTAATAAAATAAAATAAAAAAAAAAAGAAAAGAAAAAGAAAAAACACCCCATACATATAATCAAATAAAAATAGCAAAATAAACAAATGTTCAAGAATCACATTCACCCATAGACTGTTTCATCCTAATCCAAGTTCTAGAAAGGGATGTACTTGAAGCACATTAGTGAGAATAAAATCAATGGAAACACCCTACATGGCAGTTAGTGAGAGATTATTCTTCTGTCCTGTGACAGCTGGGGAGTTTGTTTAAGGGATAACAAATCATCTGAGAAAGAAGGTAGGTTGTCATGCTATGGAGAATGCCTGATTCTTGGCAGTAGTGGGTGACAGAGCTTCACTTAAGTAACTTCAGGAGCTTTTTGCTTCAGGAGTCTCCTTCAGTACTCTAGACTCCCAGATGGCCAACTCAGCCCAACTCAGCTAGGCATCCCTGGCACTGTACTATATTGAGAGAATATCAGAAGAGAAACTCTGAGTGTCAACATTCCCCTAGCTAGAGAGGGATGGTAGACACACCATAGATAGTGGCTATAAGAAACAGTGGACTGTAATCTCTGCCATCTTAAATATGATCAAAGATTGCAGTAGACTGCTGGGGACCCCCCTCATTTGAGGAACTTAGATCAATGAATAGGGTGGAATAAATTTGGCAGAACTTATTCTACTGGGAGAAATAGAGATAATAACCTGCAGGAGAGCTTTCCCATAACGTCCCTCAGGTAATAACATTCTGAAAGCTCTCCTCATGTCATAAATTATTGAAGTTCTGATTCCAAGAATTTGTTTTGATATTCACCACTGAAAAAACTGAAAGTTAAATCATTCTGACCTTCATGTTTCTGACCATACAGTACAATATAAAGGAAAATTAAACCACATGTAGAAGGGCTTGGAATCTGAGTACTTCCGATGAAGGGAGAGAGCCCTGACAGTGAGGCAGCTCCTCAGATGGTGAGTTTGCTGTTTAATATCAGTCATGACACATATGCTCCTGGTGGATTTTCTATACTGTTGTGCTGAGATATTATCCTGCTCCACAGCCACCCTCACAAATCATGAGATTTTTTCCCTACACATTACCGATTATTTGATCGGATCTAAGGACTTTGAACGCCCTCTCACACTGACTTCTAGATCATGTGGAAGAGACTCACAGCACAGTTTTGCCCTAAGATTGTTAAGGAATACACTTTCTGGATGCAAAGGAATGGGCCAGATGAGGGCTTTACAGTATCAATCTCTGCTGAGAGTCTGGTCCTATGATTTGGGCTTGTCATCTCCTCTCTCAGAGGAAAAAACAAGTATAATGTCTGTATGCCTGCCCTTTACTAGCTATCATACTGCCTGGTTCTTAAAAGCTGCTCAATGAATATATGGTAAACTCAGAGACACTTTACAGAAAAATGTTTTACTTGTCATAACAGCAACTTCAACCTAAGGTGTTGCTCAGCAACTTATGATATGGCTTAATTTAAAATACTGATTGGTTCTTCTCACGAGATTACCAAATTTGGGAGACTTTAGAAAATACTTTCAGTTCCCTTTGTCCATGCTAGGAGAGAAGTTTCTATCTGGACACTACCCATGGTCTCCTGTTCTTTTCCCATACTCTAGCTTCCTATGTCTGAGGGGATTTCTGAAGGCACCTCAGTGAGGTATGAGAAGTGACATCAAATGGTGGGAGGAGCTACTGTACTAGTCATATTTCAGTCTGAAAATAGAAGGCCTTGTAAGACACTCTAAATAGAATTGTTTGTTACAATTCTTCTGTATTAGAGGGAATTATAACTTTAAAGTGTTTAGGAAACCTGAAAGAGCAAAGGTCAGTGCAGACTCCTAACTCCAAGAGATCAGGAACCTGTGGGACGCTGCTGTGGACATCACAGCTCCTCTACAGCTCCAGGGAAAGGAAAGTTTTGGCAATACAAGGCTATTCCCAAGAGTCCTGTCCGTGAAGCCCTTGTGTCCGCTGCATCAGATGGCTTCAACCTACTTGTCACCTTCCAAATCTCATAATACTAACTTTCACTGACAGCCTGTTGGGCATGTCCAGATCCTGGGCAAGAGAGCCTGGGAAATGTAATACTCTTACTTATATTTCCTGTGATACAGATGACACATAAAAGCTAATGGGAATTTTTGAAATTATTAAATGCAAATATGTATACCTCTCTCTTGTTCCTCCCACAGTACCAAACCTAGAACCAGAGGGTATTTAGGGGTAATAGGTTATGGCTTGGAAATGAGATAACTTTCACACGGAACCTAAGGCCACAAGTGTACATGTGTGTATATGTGTGTGTTGGGGGGGGGATTGGTAATTTGGAATCCACATTTCAGAATATTTCCCTGAAAGCCAACCACAGGTTCTGTTGTTATGATTTGAACATCTATAGTCAGGTTGTTTTATAATTCCCAAGTTTTTTTGTGGGTTCTAAAAGGCACAAGCTGAATTCAATAACTGAGAGATTGTGAAGGAATAGATTAGGTTGAAAAATCACTACAGAAGCCTAAGACTGGTTGCCTCCAAAACCTGCCTCCATATTGCCAATAAATCGTTTGACTCACTCACTTAGTACCAGCTCCTGTATTTTACACATTCTGGCAGCTTGTTTTCGGAGTCACCTACAACTCCACATATCATCTGTGCTGTTACAAATCCAGCACAAATCCCAGAAATACAGGGCATTCTATTTGCAATGAAATGCTGTTTTGCATTGTTTTGCAACTCAAAGTTGTTTCCATTTTGTCCTGAAAATGTGCCGCCCTCACTTGTGAATCCTCTTTTCAGCTATTCTCCTGGGAATAGGAAGTGACCTGACTCCACTGTCCATGTAAGAGAGAATCAAGAAATGGTATTCTTAAATATTATGCTCTATTGCATGACATTGAAAATGTAGAATCTCATCTAGGTCTGAATGATTTTATAGAATGTAGATGTGTGTGTTTGGGGTAAGGAGAGCTGGAAAAGTCTCCATTTTCATTCAATCACATTTATATAATTTTTGGTTAACAATTAATTCTTGAAGATGTTTTATTAATGAATTTGGTCAGCAATTGTAGCCAAGGAGCTGGGTTCTAAACATGCAAAACACTCACAGAGAATTTAAGAGGACAGAGAGTGTGAAGATGAGATGTTAAGAAATATGAAGAGTAGGGATCCTTGGGTGTCACAGTGGTTTGGCGCCTGCCTTTGGCCCAGGGCGCGATCCTAGAGACCCGGGATCGAATCCCACGTCGGGCTCCCGGTGCATGGAGCCTGCTTCTCCCTCTGCCTGTGTCTCTGTCCCTCTCTCTCTCTGTGACTATCATAAAAAAAAAAAAAAAAGAAATATGAAGAGTGAATCATTAGGCCCCTTGACGGACTGGTTTAGGGGAAGGTGATAGAAAAATGACAAAAAAAAAAAAAACCCACCAAAAAACAACTTGAAACAAAAGTTTCAAGTCTAAATATTGTGAATGAATGAAGGAAATTTTTTTTAAAGATTTTATTTATTTATTCATGACAGACACAGAGGGAGAGAGAAAGGCAGAGACACAGGCAGAGGGAGAAGCAGGCTCCATGCAGGGAGTCTGATGTGGACTCGATTTCGGGTCTCCAGGATCATACCCCAGGCCAAAGGCGGTACTAAACCGCTGAGCCACCCGGGCTGCCCAATGAAGGAAATTTTTTATGCAAAAATAGATGTGGCATGGGTCCAGCATGGAGAACAAGGGGAAATGTTAGTGAACATAATAGGATGGGAGAGGTAGAGTGGATGAATGGCATCTCAAGAACATATCATTTTAAGAGTTAAATAGGGTAATACATGAGAGGTGGTTAATGCTGAATAAGCTTTTAGAAAAACTAAGAGGGATGATAGAGAATAACTTATATTTTGTATTTCTAAGATTACTTTTGAACTTTGAAATTTTTAAGGTAGAAGAAAGGAGAGATACAGGCCAGAGGATTCTTCATGATTTTACTGAAATAAGTATTTCTTTATTAATTGAAAATACTACTAATCATAGCTATCATGTTAAACCTTACTATTTTATTCACTAGATAATAAATTTATTTCCAATTTACTCTGAGAAACCTGGGTTCTAAAGAAAAGTACCACTTAGGAAGTAAACACAGTGGTATTGAACCCAGGATTTGGTTGATCCAAAGTACACATTCCACAGTGATATGTCTCCTAAAAATGGATTAAAGATAAAAAAAATATGCAAAAAAAATAAATCAAGTCTCTAATTGTGTAGCCAGTAACATGTGGAGCCAAGAACAAGTGTATTCAAAACACTAAAGCCACTTCAACCACCAATGCAGTCTCGAAAGGGGATGACGATTGTTTTGTCTTGTACACTGTACTTACGGATGAATATTTTAAAAGTTTCTCAGGAAGCATGTTTCCCCCACTTTTCTAATCCATGGTAAAAATGGTACAAGGCTTCCCTCTTGTGGTCGAGAGCGTGTAATTCTTCATAAATGTTGGCATTGAGTATTCAGGCAATTTATGAAAGGTCAAAGATGATAATTTAGGATGCTTTAACTAATTTATTCCTCATGTACACTTCCTAGAGTGTGTTTAATCTAATTAGATGGCTTAAATACAATTTAAAAACATTTAAGGGGAGGAGGGGCAAGATGGCGGAAGAGCAGGGTCCCCAAATCACCTGTCCCCACCAAATTACCTAGATAACCTTCAAATCATCCTGAAAATCTACGAATTCGGCCTGAGATTTAAAGAGAGACCAGCTGGAACGCTACAGTGAGAAGAGTCCGCGCTTCTATCAAGGGAGGAAGACGGGGAAAAAGAAATAAAGACACAAAAGGCCTCCGAGGGGGAGGGGCCCGCGAGGAGCCGGGCTGAGGCC